CAGCTCTTGCCTCTCTACTCCTACAGTATGGCACTTGGATGATAAGAAACATTCCATGTCCTTTTGACTGAGGTTCTTCATCTGGTGGCCTGTAACTAAGCCATACAGTGTGAGTCCTTGGTGGTGTCTGAGCTTGGTTGTTTGCTTGCAGATAGTTAATTACATATGCATATGGATATGGATACAGGCAAACAAAACGATGTTTGCTTTGGGTGTTATATAAATCCAGTCTGATGTTTTAGTGTGAATCTATAACATAAAGTATGGTTAGTCTAAGTAGTGATTTAAGGGGATAGCTTAATGTTGGCTCCCCAGGGCATTATTTGCTATAATTGCTGAGACTTGGTAATTTTCAGTCCAATAACATTGATCCAAAGGCTGGTTTAGATAAATAAGCCAACTTCATAGTGCACTTACGAAGTTAAGTATAGTTGAACAAAGCTAATAGAATTCATAGTTTTGATTATGAGACATAATTATAAAAAGTGCCTCTGGGAATGCCAAAGGTAAATAAAATATGTGTGTAGCACCATCGTTTAATCTGATATATTATTTTTAATTTAAAAAAATTAGCATTGCTCACAAGTAATATGACAAGCTCATTAAAAGGAAAGTCATGGGGTAAGAGGGTAATACAAATGACCTTGTGAACCAATCCTTATACTTTTACTGACCTGCTGAGATGAAAATATGACCGCTTGCTAAGGATAGGAGAAATCCCATAGCAGCTCTGCAGCCTATTGCAGTAGAACAGTTGAGAAAGGCCAAATTAAGTGGATATCAGGACTTACAAGGTCAAATTCTGCAAACAGCAAACATGAGGGCATCATTTTGCAAAGCATATTGTGCCAAAACTAGACTTTTAGACTAAATCACACGCTAAGAACAGCCTTTCAATCATATATGGTTTGGAATAGTTGAAAAGGCCAATTTCTTGTCCTTTGTCCCTTTTTTCCCCTAAGCATTTATCTCTACTTGAGAACAAATGCTCTAAGTGACTCATAAGTAAGTCTTCCAAGATAAAGTACTTTACACTGTGGCAGGTTGCATGAAAACATTTGGCCACCCGTTGAGCAATGATAGCTTGTGAAAAACCGCTTCCCAGACATGTTTAGAACAATCAAAATGTTGGCTGAAATTATTAAAGAGCAATTCCTTATATGATTTTTGTCATTTTCAAGAAAATATTAATTCCATTATGAACAACCATGCAGGACCAGAAGCCATTTTAGTGCACCAGCACTATCCTCATACTAATCAGATGTTCAACAGGATCTCAAAATGGGTCGTGAGAACAAAATATTCTCCAGCAGCATTTTATTCTGAGCTACATTGGAGCTTGGTATGAGGCGTGACCAGAAGCCACAGATAGTATTATTGTCCACAACAACTGTTATATTATCAGTACTCAGTTAACTTTGCTTATATATAAAAGGACATTGATTTAGTAATGATCAACTTGTCTCATTGATTTCACTTAGTCCACAATCCAAAAATGCTGGATCTAAACTAGTATTGTATATTTAACATTTGGGGCATATGGGACATATGAACAAGGTGTACATCAGTCATTACAGTAGGAACACTCAGAAAATAGAAAAGTAAGATTTCACTCATCCAACATATGTACATATTTGCATGTGAACAAAGCTTTGTACTTTCTAGGTAACAAAAGTCTTTCCATAAGGTCTCAGAAGAAAGCATTCTCTGGCTGGATCTTTTTTGTGGTCAAAGGTTAAACAAGGTAGGCCCTGAATAACACTTTGATGGGAGGCCATCATAAGGCTAGCTTCAGAGTAAAAAAACTAGAAGAATTGCTATTATCAAGAAAAATACACGGATATATCGATATAGTCAGTATGAATTCTGGGCATTGAAATCTATGCATCTTAAGAGTTTCCAAGGTTGAGAAACACTGTTAGAGTAATGAAGAGATGGACATCTTTCAAAATGAAAAAAAAAGAGCCCTCCCCTTTCTTTTCTCTACTGAATTTGCCTATCCCACTCTGTCATAATAAACTGCTTGTATTCAGAACTTTTTGTCTCCTTTTAAGCTATAGTCAATGAGAGAGAGGTTTCAGTGGCTTTCAATGCTTGTTGCTTTGGTTTTTCCCATCTTGATATTTTGTTTCTGCAAATTTTAGTATTCACACAAATTTTAGTATTTGATTTTTGGGTGGGCTGAACAACAGTATTTCTCCTTTAGACCACAAATTTCATTGGGGTTTTCTTGTCGACCTTTTGAGACAGTGGTGGACACTTTTGAAATTTGGACTGCATTTTATGCACATTTCACATAACAACTGTTGTACGGGAAATAGCCAACCAAGAAGTATTCATTTATAGCATGCAAATGGTTGGGAATGCTTCCAGCCCTTCTTTCCTTTCTGAATGGTAACTACCCACTCCACAGCTTATTTTTATCCCATTTAATGAGTGGAAGGAAAATGCTTCCAAGCCACACAGAACTGCAGTTGGGTGCAGTGTTTATATTCTGGAAATATTTATGAGCTCCATGTAGCAACCAATGGGATTCTTCAAAAGAAAATAATGGAAAATACCACTTTGATTTATAGCAAAATAAAGCTACTTTTCTTTTAAAAATTAATTATTTTAACATTAATGAGGAATTGGGAACATGGTAAACCTCAAAGGAGATATCTACAAGTCCACAGATATGCATGATGCCATCTTAGGGATTCCAAGGCTAGTTGGCTGGGGAAATTTGAATTCACATTCTAGCTTACACAGCCATGATATTGGGTTTAATAATTATTTGAACATGAGGACTAAAATCATTGGTCAGTAAGTCCTTTTTCAAAAAGAAAGGAAAGCGGGTAGGAAAGGAAAGCTACTCCCAAAAATTTCATTGTTACTGTTATGAGAAAAATAATTCCTGATCTTTCTGGTATCCCTTCTCTATTTCCCAAAATCTTATCTTAGATGTAATAAAATGTGTAATTTTGCCTCTAAATTGAATAAGTTGACATTGATTTCAACATTAAGCTGGATTTTGCCCTGATCAGTACTTGTTATCAATGATTCATTTTAATGTCTGTGGATATTCTCAATAATTCAAGTCATGGTTGTCCCAAAGGTGCTTTCCAAAAGGCAACTGGACTTTTATAATTTTTCCCCCTTAAAAACATTCTGCTTCTCATCCAAGAAGCTTCTTCAGTTCTCTGAAAAAGAAGAACTGAAGAAGCTTCTTGGATGAGAAGTGAAACATTTTCAAGGAAAAAAAGCACAAGAATGTCCAGTAGCCTTTTGAAAAGCACCTTTGGGATTGATTTCCATCAACCTTAATAACCCTTCTGGGGTACATTTCCAGTACAAACATGTTTCCATATTTTTGATTTCATTTTATCCATTTTACATATACTGTTTTTTTTTCTATTTTTAAAGTACCATTGCAGCCATTCTAATACCATTTGATATAGAGTGGTTAAAATGGAAAAAATAGAGAACAAGACTGCTTAAGAGCACTGCACAAAAGTTTGTTGTACTGTACCTCTTATGGAAAACTTTGGGGTAGTGGGGTTATAAGTAGAACTTGCCATATTATAGTCAGAAGCAAATTATTAAAAAAATTACTAAGATGAACTCCTTTTGATACTGCTTTATAGACATGTAGAGGACTGTAAGTCTAAGCTAAAGAAAACATATTTCCAAGAAAGTTTGCTTAAATCTTGTAGCCTTCCTTCAACCTTTGCTTTCAGAAGTAAAAATACTCTGTTACACTATCTGTAATTACCAATGTTGGTTGCTTATATACAAGACGTACGTTAATACGGTAGCTAAAGTAATACTAATATTTAATTGCAAGGGAGATGAATTTCTATAAACATTGAAAGCCTTCAGTTTCTGCAGTTTATATCTGTTGATTTTTGTCATTGTTTACATCTGCACACATACCAATAATGCAACCTTTACTGGGATTCATAATATATACTAATTAGATCAATACCTAAGTAAAACCCCTTACAATGAACAGAAAGGATTCTTATTATAATAAACTATGTCTCATTTTATATTGGATATTTATTTGCAATTAATATGTACAATATGACAAAATAATGGAAGGCATTAATAATACAATCTGTTTGCATAGCAACAAAAGTAACTCTCTTGTTTCTTTAGCTGTTTGGAAATATGAAAAATAAAACAAGGTATATGCTGTATTCATGGTCTATGCCTAGATTGGCATACATTTGCTTAGTCTGAGCATGGACTGGATTTCCACACAAACCCTGAATACTCTTTGGGGCAGAAACATTCTGGGTTGGGAGATAGCAAGAAAAATGCCAGGCGATTGGAAATAGCTTAAAGAGAGAATGAAATGATGAGGAGAGGGCCAGGGGACTGGCTGACAGGAGTACAGCCGCATAGTGGTAAAGGCTTCAGAGAGATTGGTGTATGGGCTGAGCTACAAATTGTGTAGAGAAAGGGAGACAAGGCCAAGATGCAGCAACATTTCCTCCTTGCCAATAAGATGCTTCCATACCTTTGGACAAAGTCAGATAATCACAAGTCCTACAATGTTGCGTCTGTCTGCTCTATGACCTACCTAGAATTGTCTGACTTACAAGTATTTGTTATGCGCATAAAACAAGCAAACAGAGCTTCTGGTTTGTGTACATCCATAAATATTACAAAGTACAAGGAAAAAATATCTGAATTTAGTGAAAACCACAAATTAAACAGCTCCCTTATGTATAGAGAGAAACTTTCGTTGTATCCAACGAATTTTGTATGCAAATTACTGAAAGAGCAACAGTCCCATTTGCTTTGAACATTGACAATATAGTAACAAAAGGTGAACAAAACCTCAGACAGGCTGAAGACATCCAGTTGAGATATTCTGATATTCCACATCAGTGCTTATGATAAGAGCCGGAGCAGTAAACATAGAATTCATTTACAATGGTAATGTGATTTTTATTTGGACTTAAAATCCTACAACGGGATAGGCAATTGGAAAGAACTACAGAGCTCAAAGTGGGCTCTTCCTTTATTTTTTCCAGGGTAAAGCCTTTGAACACATAGCTTGCAGGCAAACAAGCACCCTGGAATCTTTTAGTTTACTCTTAAGTGAGTAGAATACATGGTGTCAAAAGCCCAAACAAACTTAAAGCCATCCTAATTGTCCAAAAGGTCCCTTCTCCTTTCCTTAACCTGCTTTCTGTGGACTCTTAAGGGCAAATGCAGCCTTCTTCAAAGTTGGCCCTGGATCTTAGAATCCGCTCTCGCCAACAGCCCGGCTTTCCTCCTTCTCTAGCTGGACGGCTGTTGCAATGGCAGGCGTCTTAGTTTGGCAAGGGCAGAGCCAAAGTTCAGCGCGATCCGCGGCCGCCTGTGGCGACAGTCGCTGCCGGTGGCGAGCTTGCCGTCTGGGTTGTCCATCGGGGCAACGGCAGAGGCTGCGCTGGAGCCGCCGCGCCCAGGGCCGGTAGCTGTGGAACAAGAGGCACACGTAGGGGTTGACGGCGCTGTTGGTGGCTGCCATCATGTTGCTCAGGGTCGTCCGGGCTTCGTGGGTGGCGGCCTCGGGAGAGGCAAAAGCAAAGCCCAACTCCAAAATAAAGCGCGGGAAACCGCAGAGCGCAAAGAGCACGGCGAGCGCCAAAGTCAGCTGCAGCGCCCTCACTCGGGCGCGGGGCAGGCTCCGGGGCGCCGACGGCGAGCGGGAAGCGCACTTGGAGATCGGCAGTAGCCGCAGAAGAAGCGGCGGGCTGGGGCCAGCGAGGCCAGGCAGCTCAAGCCGAGAGGGTCCGGCGCGGCCGCCGAGGCCCTCCTGCGATGGCTCTTCCTCCTCGGCGCCAGAAGCGTCGAGGGTGGCGACGATGCGGCTGCACGTCCTGCCCAAGAGGCAGGCGGGAGCTACGAAGCCCGTGATGGCTTCGTACACGGCGTAAACCTGTCCGTGCCATCGGGGCAGCTGAGGGAAGATGCTGAGGCAGCGGCCTCCGGCTTGCGAAGGCACCAGTCTGTAAACGAAGAGTTGAGGCAGGGCGAGTAACAACGCCAAGAGCCAGCCCAGCGCGGCCAGGGCGCTCCGGGCGAGCACGAAAGGCGGCAGCGATTCCTGCGGAGGCAGAGGGCCCTTGGCTAAGCGCTGTCGTTCCAACGCGATAAGAACTAGCATGTGCGACGGCGCCAGCAGCCCCGAGCCTTGCAGGAAGCGGAGCAAGCGGCAGGTGGCGTCTCCGGCCGGCCACCCCGCGTCTCCCGGCTCTGCAACGCGCCCGTCCTCTGCTGGAGGCAGCTGGGAGAGCAACGTTAGCCCGCAGCCGTAGAGATCGGCGATGGCCAAGTGCGCCAGGAGGAAATCCATCTTCCGCCGCCTCCTGAACCGACCTCCGCAGCAGCACCCTCCGCAGCGGAGTCGGTACAGCAACAAGCAGTTGCCCACCAACGCCAGCAGCATGATCGCACCCGCCCCGATGGTCTGCGCAGACTGCCCGGGCAAAGGCCAACGAGACGGCAAAGAAAGATTCAAGTTCCCGGCGGGATGCTGAAGGCTGGACAAGTTGGCTCCCGGAGCTTGGCCGTTTGGCTCGAGCGCATCAGCCATGGCTCCCTGTGGCCGCCAAAACTGGGAACAAACTTTACTCTTAGAAAGCAGCCGCGCGGATTGTATGTGGATGGACGTGCCTCGGCAGTATATATAGGGGCTCTGCCTGTCACCTGGCACTCACCGTGGGTGGGTACTCCACAAGAGATAGAGCCGTCGCGCCTGTGCTCTGCCCACCTCTCAGCCCCCCCCCCCCCCCGCCCCCCCCCCCCCCCCCACCTCCAGTTCAACGACAATCGCAGTCTTTCACACCCACCTGAACCAGGTTTCTCTGCACACTTTGTGAAGCTGTCTTTCACATCTGAATGAAATCATCCCCTTAACCCTTCCTCCCCCTTTCCTCCACAGACTCCACGATGCTTGTTTGCTTGCTTGGTGGTGTATCTGCCAAAATATGGCCGTGCATCGGAAACCTGTTGAAGATTGCCTTCACTAGAAACATAATCACATATGTTTTCATGAGCTTATCAGAGGGGGTCAAGTACCAACTGGTTGGTTTTTTTTAAAAAAAAACATAACTGTCTAGGATACAATTTGCTTTTAAAAATTAGCAAGTTAAGTTTTTTTTTTCAATAGCACACACACATTGACAAGGTGCTAAGCATTTGGATGAAAACTGAAATCCTATTCTGTTAAAATAAGCCCAGCTGAACTGAATGGAATTTACTTCTAAACAGCCATATATAAAAGTAAGCTGCTAATGTAATGAGCTTTGTAAAAGTAAATTTTATTGACACATTTCAAGATGTTGGCTAAATTAGCATAAATCCTTGCTCACTGTTGGTTTTAACCTATATGCCCTGGTCTGGCTTGAATGCGGGATGTCTGTCAAGCTGCTTTTAAACTGGCTAAGCAAGAAATTGGTACAAAAAGTTCCAAGGCTGTGAAAGCTTTAATAATGAAGCTGTTGCAAAAGTGTTCGAATGATTGCTATGTATCAAATGCAAATCCAACTTATGGTAAAGTCAAGGTTGAAATTCTTGAATTTATTCTGTTTATATTGCAAGAAGCTTGAAGCCATTCTTGGGTAGGTAGGACAGTTTCTAACTATCTTAGCTTGATAACAAGACTGGCCTTGTGTTTGGAGCGGGCTATCACTATTTCTGGTGATAGTTGAACATGGCAATTTTTATGTATAATGCTAATCAAGTTTACTAGCAATATTGATTCCCAGTTTTGTAAGTCTACCACATCACTATTATCTCCATTGACCATGCGCATATCTGGAAATAGTCTTCACCAGCAATTGCTAGAAAAAGGAAATAAAAAAAATGGTTGCTGCTACTTCTTTCTCTTGTTAAAATTTTACAGGTGGTTGAAAAAGAGCATTAGTAAGGGTGACCGATCTATTGGCCTTTAATTGGGGTACATAGTGGTGCATGATTGTTATGCCAGTCTGGAATCAATAGAACAAAAGCACACAAAGGTAATTTGGTTGTCCTAGTATTCCATTTAATAAAAATGATAAGATTAAAGAATTGTATGGCCCTTTTATGTCAGTCAAAGCCATCTATCCATAATTGATAAAGAACCTGTTTCCAAGTTTCATTCAACTCATAATGGCCCTATTGTCTTTGTAGTTTGAAATAAAATTTGTATCCCACTGAGAAGGATGTATCATGCTCTAAGTATGTATTTTAATGGCAAAGAACTGGCAACAGTTTTCTCCAGGCAAACACTATTCAAATCTACCTGAAAAGCTGGAATAAAACCAGAGTATTGTTTTCTAGCTATTCAGAATATGACTGTGATCTGCTAGTCTACATTCTCCAGTGGAATTAGCCTAGTTGGTTCCATGTAACCAGAAATCTAATAGGAGGATACAACTTAAGAATGTTGGGAGAGGGGGACAAGGTTTGCTAGTACTGCTTTTCAGTAACTGTCCAATCCTTGCAAAAGCTGCTCAAAAATTGATGGGAAGCGATTTGGGCCATGATTCTGCCTTCCCTTGGTTATTCTTTATTCTTTAGTTAATTTAATAATAGGCTTTCATTAGTCTCTGCACCTCTCACTTTTCTTCTTGGTTTATTATGTATTATTATGTATTATTTCTTATGTCTCTTTTCTGTAAAGCACCAAAAGCTTTTGGGATAAATAAACAAATAATGACACAGAAAGAAGGTATGCGATAAAATACTGCAATAGTAATTCACTTATATTTTCATCTCAAATCAAAGATTTCCTATATCTTTAACTTTCATATAAGTATGCCCTCATTAAATGAAAGACAAAATAAACAGAAAAACATTTCAAAATTGACCTCATGTTTTATTATATTAAGAAACATAACACAAGAATAAAAAAAAAGTTTAGAAATTTTAGGAAGTTTTGTTTAAATGAAATATTCCTTGGATTTAGAGCAATTTAGCTAATCTGTTATATGTCTTAGGATGGGGTTAGAGCAAAATAAATATTAATATAGGAGAAAACACTGATTAAGCATTCAATTCTTAAAGCACTGGGTTAGATTCAAACTTAAAAATGAAATCAAATAGGACTTGCTACATAATGTAACAAATTAAATAACATATTTAGTAACTATATATTGAATCAATGTATATTTTTTTATTTAGAGGGAGTATAAAATAAAGTGAATAGGCTTGAATGTTTTTTAAAATATAGGGTGAAAGATTGGCTGCCGAATATGGTAAGAACAACATATGATGGAAGAAAAGCATGTTTGAAGATTGGCATTGTGGGGAAAATAGAAGGTGCATTGGCTATGTTTGCTGCCTTGAGTTATTTGTAAAAATAATAAAAGGCAAAATACAAATAAAAATTATGAAAATTATGATGACTTTAGAAGAGAGTTTGTGAGAGCATGAATATGATTATGATTGGCTAAGAATCCAAATGATTTATTAAATGTATGATGCAAAAACAATGAAGAGGAAAACAAACATTAAAGATCAAAGTAGCTGTGTTTGACAGGATATAAGGGAAACATTGCAAGAAATTTAAAGATGTGCAAATGCTGATTGGTGTTATATATTTGTTGCAAAAAATGAAGAAATTTTTTCTGTTAAATCATTTATTGACTTTGCTATATAGTGTGACAATTAAGTATGTCAACAAAAACAAAATAAATGGAATGGGAATACAGTACTTAAATATGTGTGGTAAAACCAGAAGAAATGGGCCAAGAACAGATGAGTGATTAATGAACGTGACTGAGCGCAATAGTGATTCAGAAGAAGTGATTAGAGGTGGTTTGACAATACAGAAAGAATTATTGAAGAACAAATTGCAAAACTAGTAGTATACAAAGTGGTTAGGTTGAAAAAAAGAAGGAAATCTAGAAGTTATAATAAGTTGGAATTGATGAGATCATCAATAAGTGATAAGTTTAAAGAACCAAAACAATTCATGAAGTGATTTTTAAGGACAGAAATCTATACACGGAAACAATATGCTAAATATGTAGATATAAATTAGCTTGTGCTGCATTTGTTTTTCATTTTTAACCCTTAATTTTGGGGGCTTTTTTACATTTTGCATTGTAACTACATATCCAAAACAGAATAAAGTGATCGGTATGTTGATGAGTAAATCTGACATACTGCTCTACTACATTATAAATCTGATATATTGATATACTACAAGCTCTACATGCATTGCTTAGCTTGGCTTATTGACAAGAATGCTGAGCTGAAAATGAACCTTTTCTGCATTTTCCATTGGTTTGGAAAGGAGAGCTGTATAATCAGCTTTTACTGCTCCCTAAAGAAATATACATTATTTTTTATATTTATAATATATAGCTTATCACATAGAACCAGGTCTGCTGCATTATGCTGTTTCTACTTTAATTATAGTATTAAAAATGTGACAAGTTTATATACTAGTCTCAGCCATGATAGAATACATGGTCCAATGTATGCCGACTTTATATATACATAAGATTCAGAATAGGAGGTGAAAGCCAAATGCTGCAATAAACTGCTTTAAAAACGCTAGAAGTTCAAAGACACGACAAACTTTGGCCAAAAAAAGATCGCAGTATTTTTCCGCGTTTTACAAAACCTGCGTATCCTTCAACCTCTTCGGGATTTGACGAGCCCCCCCACCAAATTTTTCTTGTTCTAACTTTTACAAATGGGTGACGCTGCGTCTTCGTACCAGGCTTTTCCTAACCATTTCTCCCTCTCGATCTGGCCAACCCCAGACCTCTGTGGCATCTTCCAAAAATCCACCATTTTGCTTCTGTCATAAACCAGACTAGGCAGATAAAAAAGTATTAGGGGATTTGCAAACAAGAAAGACCCGTGTAAATCTCCTCCAAAGCAACACAAGGCATACAGAAACACTAATCAGCAAGCCAGGTTTTGTCACGTGACGCTTATAGCGCCAGTAACATTCAAGATGTGACGCACCAGCGGGGGGGGAAAACAACAACTCGGGAACATCGCCTTGTAGGGCAGGTCTCGCAGCCAGATTTGAATGGCATTCCTTTCGACGGGCGAAATGGAGCAGGTTGGTCTTCCTTTAAGTAAAAGTCTTTCTTTCTTTCTTTCTCTTTCTCTTCCTCTTCCCCCCCCCCGCCCCTCCCGTTAAGAAGAACACGTGAAAGAGAAGAATGAATGGGAGAAAGGGCTGAACGCAGCGCCTGCAGGGAGTTGTGGTCTTCTGCAAGCGCGAAGGCTGCTGGGCGTTGTGGTTTTGTAACTGCGGATTAGCTCAGGCTGGGTGCGGCAAGAACGTGTGATGGGAGTAAGCAGGATGTGGCGAGGCAGACCGTAATAGTGAGTTTTAAAAAAACAAATAAACATCTTGCTATGTTTGGCCCCATCACAGGAGTCTATGTGACATCTCACTGTCGGCCTTCCTTAGACTGCTGTTCTCCAAATCTTGAGATACTTCTGTATTTTGAGTTGAAATCCAACTATACATCTAAGCTCCCCGGGCTGCAAAAATCCTTCCGACCATTAGCTGATGCCAAACTTAACCCGAATAGAAAGCCTTGGTTCCTCTTCGTTTGAATTATCCAGATATTCGCAGCC